AAGAATACAAATTCTCTGAGTAGCAAATATAAAATGTAACCAAAATGTCTGCTTATGAAATGAATATTTGCTACATGTATTACCACATTTTGAGACTGATAATTTTTATTTAAATACAAACTTTATTTATTTTACAGCAATGAAACAAGTTACTACAACTACACGCAGGGTCTTAATGTGGGGGAAACCAGAGTACCTGGAGAAAACCAACGTGGTCGGCAGGTGATCCCATACCTATTTAAAGCTGTATCAGGGAATCCAACTCCGGCCGCCTTGGTGAAATGTGAGTGCGTTATCCACTGCGCCGCCCGACTACTCTATTACAATTGGTGCGTTTGGTGGTGGAGTTTGGAGAGAAGAACAACAGCAAGTTTCTCTTTTAGTTTTCTTTATTTTTCCTTTGATTACAAGTCTAATCCCTGAACTGGACTAGTACAGAACATGTTAATTACAGTATCCATTTCCATCTGACTGGCTCTAACAGGTAGGGCTGACTATATATATACCCCGAGAGTTATCTCCTTATAAACCTTACACCAATGTATTATTAATGATACATGTATAGAGTTAGTGTTACCGTGTGAAGATCAATGATGTTAAAACTACACAGGTACGGAAATAGGCCGAAATTCCTCTGGCCCTGACAACAGACTTGGGCATTTTGACAGATTGAATTCACACACGGTATTTTGTATGTTATTACATTTCAACCTACTCAATAACGCTGTGACTGAGTCAGACTCTGTTATAATTAGTAATAAATATAAGTAAAAGTTTGAAACCAACTCTTGGTCCCTGAACATAAGAAAACTATTATAAAATGTAGAACTGTCATATTCTTGTCAAAACTGACCATATCCTTGTCTTTGAGAAATATCCATCACTTAAAACCTTTGTCTGCTCCATACCTTTTCTTACTTGATGGCAAATAAACTCTAGTAGAATTGTTGACGTGTTAACCCTATCAATTATGGCACAGCTGTTTAAAGCCATATAAGTTTAACAACATCTTAATAATGCCAAATTTAGTACATTTCAAAAAAGACTGAAATTAAAAACTAAAATGATGTATGGGGATTCATATTGCTTATCATAAGATAGGAAACAATAATATTTGTAAATTTTCTGATATTTCTTTAAAAAATCATGAAAATTTGCAATAATAAGTCATTAAGCTAGCTTAAGCTAACTTAAAACAACAGGGTTTACATGTCATTTTCAGGTCCCTATAGTTCTGTTAAAACTGAAGGTTTTATCAAACTTGATATTTCATTACCTAAATCAGGATATATCTAGCACAGAAAATAATTTGGTCATAAATACGTCAAAATGTATTCAAATGAAATAAATAAGTCATTTTCTCAGCACTTTGCTATGCATGAAATTACTGTATGATGCACACAACCAAAAAAACGTTGTTGCAAGCAATATGAAGTATTAAAACCGTTAAGAGAATTGCACAAATCCCAATCATCTAAGTTTGTTATATAACAAGTTCTGTGGAATTTTTAGTAATCATGACCCATTATCAGATTATACTTCTTGTAAGTTTTTACAAACTTTAATTTTTCATGAAACACACAATTCCATTAATGTCGGTAATTTACCTTTGTAATACATTTTGTTACATCATAGATATGATTTTATTGATATATGTTTACAATTGTCTATAGTGCTTTAAAATACTGCAAACTAGCAAGAAACAATCTTCAACATTTTACTGACAAAGGCGAAATTTCATTTTCTGAAAATTCTAAAAAAATCTGGAGAGTTACAAATTCATTAAATGATTATCAATTCATTTTATAGATATTGTTAAGCTCTAATTTGAAAACAAAAATGTTACACAACCTTTTTTCCTTCTTACTAGGTCATGTAGGTTCCAAATTCTGACTACTACATGTACAATGTGAAGTGTTTAACTTACACGATACACTGGTTGTAAACAGGTGTTTATACAGGTAAGTTCTACCTGTAAAAATGTAATAGTTTACCTGTATACCTCATAAAGACCAGTGTTCCAGTCAAACCAACATTTACTTGACAAGATCAGCAATTCCTGAGCCAATCAACATTAAACATTCTGAACAACACCATGAACACCGTTTGATGGATTTTCTGAATTCCCGAAATATCCCCGACAGTCAAAAAGGATAGAATTGCCACACACACCTACAGCATGTAAGATGTGTAGCTAACCCACCCCTACTTCTACACACACATTCCAATACATTCTAAACATCTATTTGATTGTCATCTCAGCATTTATAAAATTATTGTCATGTGAATTTATGTGAATATTTCTCTATAAATAAAGACTTAATGATAAATATATATATATATATTTTACAGTTTGAGTGATGTTCTTCACAAATTTTGCAAGCTCATGAGCAGCAGATCCCGAGGGGAATCCAGGGCATTTCTTGGTTGGACTCAATGTTGAAGTGAGATGAGAATACAAACCACTTGGAATAAGAATTCTATCCTGACACGATTCAATCGACAAAAAACCTATGATGATAGGGCAGAAGTTGAAGTCTTGGAGCATCCCTAAAATCCCACTTTATCCTCCTCAGGCAGAACTTAGTTAGGCCTGCTTAGTGACTTTCTGTGGCAGTGAATACCTAGCAACAGTTCAGCTTCCTAAAGACAAATTCATTTGTGTGTCCCCAAAAAATGATGGGCATCATTCTACAGTAATGGTCTATAACAACACTGCAAAATTAAAAATACAACCTGTGCATGTCTAAGTTTCTTCTATTTATAGACACTGGCCAAAATGCGTAGTTAAAAATAATAAATATCATATATATATATATAAATACTGGCAATCGTTATACATTTACAATGTATGCTACCTTATGTATAAATCAAACTTGTAATTTGTTTGTAGAGTTATCTCCCTTAATCAGCATTACTCATTAAGTATATCTTACAGGTTTCTCAATAGGACTTCTGTACAGAAAATGACTAATGCATCTAACAGTACAGTAGAACACGTCTTTCAATCTCATTAACGCTAGGAAATTGTACAAGTTTTGATAGTAACGTCACACATACATGGCACTTGTCTCCAACATGATAACATATTCAAATAAAAAGGTGACGTAGCTTTGATCTCTTCACAGATAAACTAAAAGTTTGAAATTGACATTTTTAGTAAAGGTAATATTCAGTTTGTTCCGCCATCTGAATCACCTTACAATGACAACAGGCATGCATTGTGGATTAAATACATGTACCGGTACTGTTACATTTCAGGAACATTTTTTTCGTCAACAATGACATGACCTTTATAAACCACATTAAATGTTCCAGCTTCACCAACCTTACATTAATAATACCTGAGAAACTTCAGTTGTCATCAAACAAAAGGTCTAATCGACCTGTATCACTCACCTATGAATAACTTGACTAATGAAGTATCAAAGATGTGAACATTACTGGGCATTTAAAACATTCAAAGCGTAATACATATACTCAGCATTCGATGAGAATTTCTGACCTCTGACAATCTCCTTTGGCACAACCTACGATGTGATGATAGATGACTCGTAGTCATGATCGTGACAGAGCTGGAACGATACACTTAAAGCATTCATGTTTACTGGTATGTGTTGCTAACATAAATATGTTTCCTATAACATGAACTCATTCACCCCTGAAGACACATTTGAACTCTTCCAATTCAAAGCTTGGAATAGTTCATTATAAAATTTCAGGGGTGAATGACTTAACATGAGGATCTAAGCGACCCCAATTTATAATCGTTAAAAAGTAGATTGGGTTTCACACATTGTAAAACTTATTTACCATCGTCCTTTCTAGTGGTGGTGGATTTAAGGCTGCTGGTACAATGGTGTATAAGATTTTACGTTGATACTTTTACAGGAGCCCGTTTCACAAAAGGTTGTTCACTTGTGGAAATTATGCAGTTACAAAATGTTTAAATTGGAAAGCATTGCTGCCATTTCAGAACCTCTTTAAGGTTAATTAATGTTTGTGAAAATGTAATACACCATGATACACAGATATTGAGTGAAGATACATTTATTACCAGCTATTTCAATTCTTAATCATGACTCAATGAGCAATCGTCCCAGCACTAAGATCACACTACAGTACACAGAATGATTTCATATGCTTTACAAATGGCAAAATAAATTCATGAAAATTGGCAAAAACTACCAATATCATTGTTTTTTTAATATATTCAAAACAAAATTCTTTTCCCATTGTTTAGATACATTGTATAGATTTCTAATAGGATATTTATAACGAAATGCCCATTAAGTAGTATAATGATCTAGTTAAACAAAAGGTTATCGTCATGTGACATTTATCTACCAATCAGATACAGATCTGAGTTCACCTATTGTGATATTTGATTAATCTAGCAGTTGTCGTTCTGTTCATTTTTTGCCTCATGAATTACATCAGATGCCACATTTTGAAAACAATTGACCAACAAAGCGAATATCAGCTTGACAGTTCTAGTACAACAAGGGTGGGATGCTGGCTGTTGTGTACCTACATGGTTACAGTATAACAGCCCAAGTCACAGCACTTTGATTTCACCAACAATACCAGGTAAACAGACTGATCTCCCTTACACTTCAGAGGCACAATACTGGTAGCACTGGTGTAGACACCAGTCGAGAATCTCGCATGTTGACAACAGTCCAGATCCTGATATGTTGACAAAAGTCCAGATTCTAATATGTTGACAACAGTCCAGAACCCGATATGTTGACAACAGTCCAGATTCTAATATGTTGACAAGGGTCCAGATTCTGATATGTTGACAAAAGTCCAGATTCTAATATGTTGACAACAGTCCAGATCCTGATATGTTGACAAAAGTCCAGATTCTAATATGTTGACAACAGTCCAGACCCTGATATGTTGACAAAAGTCCAGATTCTAATATGTTGACAACAGTCCAGAACCCGATATGTTGACAACAGTCCAGATTCTAATATGTTGACAAGGGGCCAGATTCTGATATGTTGACAACAGTCCAGATTCTAATATGTTGACAACAGTCCAGAACCCGATATGTTGACAACAGTCCAGATTCTAATATGTTGACAAGGGTCCAGATTCTGATATGTTGACAAAAGTCCAGATTCTAATATGTTGACAACAGTCCAGAACCCGATATGTTGACAACAGTCCAGATTCTAATATGTTGACAATAGTCCAGAAACTGATATGTTGACAACAGTCCAGATTCTAATATGTTGACAAGGGTCCAGATTCTGATATGTTGACAACAGTCCAGATTCTAATATGTTGACAACAGTCCAGAACCTGATATGTTGACAACGGTCCAGAACCTGATATGTTGACAACAGTACAGATCCTGATATGTTGACAACAGTCCAGAACCTGATATGTTGACAACGGTCCAGAACCTGATATGTTGACAACAGTCCAGATCCAGATATGTTGACAACAGTCCAGATCCTGATATGTTGACAACAGTCCAGAACCTGATATGTTGACAACAGTCCAGATTCTGTTATGTTGACAACGGTCCAGATTATGATATGTTGACAACGGTCCAGATTCTGTTATGTTGACAACTGTCCAGATTCTGATCTGTTGACAACGGTCCAGATTCTGATATGTTGACAACGGTCCAGATTCTGATCTGTTGACAATGGTCCAGATTCTTATATGTTGACAACGGTCCAGATTCTTATATGTTGACAACGGTCCAGATTCTGATATGTTGACAACGGTCCAGATTCTTATATGTTGACAATGGTCCAGATTCTTATATGTTGACAACGGTCCAGATTCTGATATGTTGGCAATTGTAACATACAGTATTACTGTGTCAATCAACAATTAAAACCTACAGTCTACAGTTTGCAATATCTTCACTAATGCTATGTCATATGTAAAATACGGGATGTATATAATTGATTGTGTCTCTTTGTAAATACAGCCTGTATCCAGGACATAATCAACCTGTAATAATGGTGGTCTCTTGCCTGTATTTTAATTATACAGTCGACATTTGCGTGAATGACTCAATACACAGGAACATGTTAAGCTAAATATCCACTAAATATATTAATGTGTAACAATTCATTATTACTGCTCACAAAATTGATTAAAAATCGACATATGAATATCATTGTTTACTGGTCCTTAGAACCAGAATTTGTAAAATGCCACAAACCGACCAATCACATTACCAAGCTCCATTGAATGACCAATCTGTTACATGGTGACCACTGTATATGTTCCATTGGTCGAGAACTTGACCAGTCAGTCTTTAAAGAATGACCACTAGGTCCCAGTGGTCAAATACTGACCAGTCACACAATAATAATAAATAAGATAGCTATCACAGAAGTAGAAGAGTATTCCTAAGGTCTCCAGACGTCACTGTTTCTTGTTCTTCGGCATATTTGGGCTCTCCGGTGGTGTAGTCACACTCGATGATTTGGACGAAGAGGACTTCCGACCTTTCAGAGACAGCCGCCGGGCTGTCCGAGCAATCATGTTGTTTTCGAACATTCCCGAGTCACTACCTGTTGGTACATAGAAATACTGACAATTATTTAACCATTAAATCCACTCATGTATTTAAAAAAAAAAAAAAAAAAGTGAGAAAAAAAACATTCGGACTGTTAATACATGACACTGTTTGGTGTTAAATGCACTGAATAATTAATTATTCCAAAAACAATGTAAAGGAAGATGGTGATTTGGAGATTAAAGTTAACAAGATATTTATTTTGATTTTCTAAATTACTGTCATCTGACCCTCAATCCAAGCATTCTAAGACAACCCTTGTACTAGTTCTAGGGAAATGAATGTGATTGAAACAGATACTGGTATATTACAACAATGAAAGGTATACTTGCTGTCATTAAATACACTTTTATCAACCACAAAATATTGGAACTTATCAGTAGTACAGACATTTTTTCTGGGTTAATTTATTATCAAAACATATTATGACATTCAGAGAAATCTGCATCAGGATAGCCATTTAGTCATACACTGTATTGAATAATTATAAAAGCAAATTTTCACCTATTAGGAAATCTCCAGCAGCATGGGGAAATGTATCTACAAAACTTAGATCAAAGTAGAACTTAGATCAAAGTAGAACCTAGATCAAGGGTTGTTTGGAGGGAAGGGATGGCATATACACAAAAACCAAGATCAAGGTATAACCTAGATCTAGGGTTGTGTTTGGCGGGTTGGTTATACAAATCCCCAGATCCCGAATTTTGTTCAGATGTACCTAAGGGGGAAATAAGCACCCAAATATTTTGTTTCCCAGCACCACTTTACCTGGATCAGGATAAAAACCTTAGATGCAAAGATAAGCAAGGGACTAGTGCCTCATTATAAACTTAGTCCTGCACCAATCTAGAAATACAGCAGAACCTGTCCTGAGTTACCTCCCCTGACACAACAATGGCGGGTACATCAAGTCAGGTTATGTAGTGTAACTAACTTGAAGCATCATTTACCATATTGAAGTAACCACAAGTACCAATAACCAGAACAAAAGGCCTGTGAACTCACCCAATTCTGAACTACAAACAATACTATAGGACATCAATGCCACATTTGATTACAATGCGACATTTCACACAATGGCCTCCTTACCTGAAGACAGACTGTAACCACTATGTAGTAAAATATATATTTTCATAAACTTTGCTAACTATATATTTTTCTGAAAAACACATTCTGTGAGAATTTTCTAAACATTTGCTTATGCAGTAAATCACCATACATACATATTTATTTGCAATTTTTTTAACTTTTAAAATAGAAAATATACTATCTGTATTTGTTCCTTATAAACTTAAAAACCTAGGAATTAAAATCTGAAAGATACATTTGTACAAGATAGCATATAAAAGATTCTCATTAAATATAAAGAGTAACAAGTTTTTAGAAGTTGAGATGCTGAAAAAAGGTAAAAAGTTGCATACATGTAAATTTATATATTCAAATGGTAGCACTTCACAAACTATTCACCATGGCTTCATGCCAATTAGTTCTAAAGAAGAAGAAGATGAGCTTTTAAAGAGGCTCTTGATGGTTTGAGCCAGAACTGAGCTCCATTCAAACATAACATTGTCCAGTAAATAAACTTCTTATAAGAAAACCAATTTATGAACATGCACATTTGTTTTATGTATGATTTAGACATCAAATTCATTCAAAGTTATAAACATAGTCCCCATGCTGTCAACACTACTGGTCAACAAGTGGGTGGTCAGCTTGTGAAAGACAAGTCCAGCATACATAAATAATAATAATAATAATAATAATCAAGGTTCCTATATACCGCTTTATCACAACCTAGATCGCAGGTCGTCTCAAAGCGGTTTACAAATTATTATCCGTGGTTATAAGGACTTTGCAACCAGCCAACATCTGTTCAGCTCCCTGGGGAACATACAGCCGATGCTGCCATTTCGGAGCTCACAGCTAGCATTCAACAATTCTAGCACTTCCCAACCACATATTCATTTATAGCTGAGTAGACTGGAACAAGCAGAGTTAAGTATCTTGCTCAAGGATACAACACTGTGCAGCGACTCGAACCCGCAACCCTTCTGTCAAGGGCCCGGCGTCCTACCACTAGACTACCGCACCTCCCCAAATTTGGTAAACCAGTTTTTGATATCAGGATATACATCATCCTGGTATCAAAGTTTGTATATAAATGATGTCGATTATAGCATTTGTCATTCATTTAGAAGAAACAAGTCAACTTGACCATCTCTTTTATCCTAAACAAGACTAATCTTCACCATGGATTTGACAAGCAAAGTCCTGAGTCAGACTCATTTGCCAACTCGTGATTACTGGTATGTCCATGTGAGATTTGTTTCAGCAGACGATTAAATCTGTTCATCAATTAATAAAACTCTTCTTAAAAAGGCTGTAACAAATTCATTTGTAGTTCTTTCAAATTTTCTGATTTCAAAACAAGCATAAGACCATTATATTTTCTTTTGATTTAAAAAAGAAAGTTGGAGCACCTTTTTTCATCTTTTTAATACACAGACTTTTTGGTTGCAGGTTACCTCTTTTAGCCATATAATTCTTCATAATTCTCCCAAGGAATTCCAGAAAATATCGAAATTTCCAACTGAAAAGAGTTATTGGAAATCAAATCATCTTGTTAATACGACAGAATCATTCATTTTCCCACCCTGGAATTCTGACTCCAAAACATATGAAGCAGACAAATTCTGAAGAACTACACACCAATTTGGCATCTAAGCAAAGGTTCAAGGCTCTTCAATGGCAGCTAGAAAATGTTTAATGTTTCAATATTTTTTTGGTCAAACATAACACTGTATATACTTGTATCCATATTGCGATTATAATAAAAAAGCAAACAGGCACATTTAGGATGACAAGCTTAGTGACGGGTAACTTGTATATATTAGAATCAAAACATGCACAATAGTAACAATTGAACTCTGCCTCCTCCTCATGGTGTGCTCGATGATACTAACACATAAGGGCAGTAAGGGACTTTCCGATTAACACATCACATAAAAGCAGCAGTTATTTCGTATGCATATTGGTTTTATTGACTTATTCAATCAATCAAAAAATTTCCAATCTATGTTTTTGTGAAAGCCTTTTAGGTTGTCAAAATATTTGAGTTTGATACCTTCAGGTCTTGAAATGTGAACAGACAGTTCAAGTAATGCATTTTTTCAATTTCTAGAAAGTCATTTCCTTAATTCTGGCCTGTAACCAAAATGGTCAAAGTCTTCATAAGCTCAACAAAATATACAACAACCAAACCTTTTCGATTTATTATTAACCATAGTACCTAGTTTGTTTTTATATTGTTTTTTTTGCTGCTGATGAAAACATAACATATTAACTCATTCACCCCTGAAGTTTCATGATGAACTATTCTAACCTTTGTTTTGGAAGAGTTCAAATGTGTCTTCATGGGTGAATGAGTTAAAAGGATTGATTAACTCATTCACCCCTGAAGACACATTTGAACTCTTCCAATTCAAAGGTTGGAGTAGTTCATTATAAAATTTTAGGGGTGAATGAGTTAACAACCATGCTTTGTTCACTTCAGCATCGAATATACAAAAGCTCATTGGTCTGTGCAAGTATACCAACTGACTGTGTGACTTGACAGCTGCAGAGAGGAAATCTTATGCCTTTCAGAAACTTATTTTAATGCAAATTTCCCCTAATGAGTCACAATTTTACTATATACACAGAACAATGAGCTATTGTATACAAAGCTACATGTCTTTTTCATTGTTTTCTTCAGCTACATTTCTACATCAGACAGATGTACGAGCAATATCAATGTCTGAGATTGTTGTAAATACAGCCATAGTAAAAGGCACCATGCGTAACAGGCCAACCATTCACTCAGAAGGACGTGCAAAAGATGCACGCTGTTGCATAAATTGTCTTTGATAATTTGCATACCAACTTTTATAAGTGGCCAACAAAGGGAATCCAGGTCAATTCCTCTTATCGCAACGGAAACCTCAACACCGACCTCGCCAGTAACCTAGAGAGAACTCCATCTTCTTTTTCAATAATTAATTATAACATTCAAGTATTTCTTATAATAAAAAGTTATTCTTCTGTCTCAAGTATTTGATTGTCTAAATTTCATAAATTAACTTACAAAAAAAATCATCTGGATTTCTAGTTTTGAAATTGTGTAATAAAATATATGTCAAATAAGGTTGATTTGATACAGAAAACTGTCATAACATCATGTCCCCTATTAGATTTTTTTTGTTTTTTTCACACCAGAGGAATATCTGATATTCAAATTTCAAAAGTTGTTTTAATATTTGACATCAAAATGTCAAATATAAAACACAGACTGCCTCACAGTGAAATCAATTAGAAATAGACTTTTGTTCATAATGAAATAAAAATCTTTTATTTTTTTATGACAAAAATGTATCTCCTTTTATCTCCTTTGTTTAGTTACAGACGTATTACAAGTGTGGGGGTAAACATATATTGTACATAATTACGAATGGTTCAGTAAAACACATGTGCAAAATGTTTCAAATTCAAAAACTTAAAACATCAAAATATTGTGACATGAACCAAGAAAGAACCAAAAAAAACCATTCAGCAGTAACTAAAAACACAATCAGCAGAAACTAAATCAAAACTTCAATGGAAAATAAATCATAACATGCATAAACACATGCCTGATTGTAATTGTACAACAAAAATATAACATAAACAAACTGAAATATGTTAGGAAAAAAAACGTTCAAAATGACAAATTGTAATGTAAATGAAAATTCTGTAAATGAGAACATGAATATTCATTTTTCTATCAAATAATTTGTTAAGATAATGATATTGATGATGAAGACTGTAAACAATTTAAACATGAAAATGATGATTTTCTTTCAAAAAGATGATGACAATAATGTGCCTTAATGATATATGATTAAAAAGATGATAATATTTATGGTTCCAAGATATATCTAAAATGTGTCATTTTGAATTGTTATGAACTAAACATTCTAC